CCTTGAAGAATGACTATTATTATTTGTAGATGTAGATCGGATGAAAGAGACTACATAAAGGTGTAATAGCCATTCAATTTTTTTATGAAAAAATTACTATTTACGTCTGTTGTTGCATTCTTACTCTTTTACTTCGATTTGTTATTTATTTATTATTAATGAGTCAAAACCAAATTTTTAAAATTAAAAAAATATATATGTATGCAATGTGTCTCTTTTTCAATCAATGCGACGACGACGAAAGTGGACACAATTGAACCCAATTTTGCAACTGGGCCCGTTAGCAGGCTCCATTTCCGGTGTATCATCTTCTCCTCTCTCTCTTCCAACTACGTTGTGGAATTTGTGATCTGGCATGCCTTTTTCAAATACTAGGCTATAAATACTTTCGGGTTGGGCTGGGCTTCTACATAATCTTAGCAACAGTAGTCCATCAACAAACTACTAGAGCCACAACAATACAAAATTAATTAATTTTATACTATAAACTTATGTAAACATGTCCACATAAGAAGAAAAAAAATTACAGACACGAGAATTTTGAATGTCTCACCACTAAACACTAAATTATAATACGCTATTATATATATATAGTAAAATGATTTTAAAGCTGAGGACATAGGCATAATTCTTAGATCTAGAATTATTACTTTTAATTGCTCAATACATAATAAATATATATATATATGTATAAAAAAAATTAAAAAAAAAACCAGCACATTTTAAAAAATATATATATTAATGACCAATCTGGTCAGACAATTCTGCCCAACTATTGTCCAAAAATCACCCTTATTAGTATTTTTTTTTAAAGATGTTTAGTTACTTGTTTACCACGGGTAAGTATGTAAACGCTAAAGCGTTCCTTTTCTAACGTAACCAAAGCATTATTTTAGAGTAACTCAACCAAAAAAAAATCAGTTTGTCTTCACTCTCTATACCTCTCTCTCTCTCTCTCTCAAGTCGTCTTATAGGGTGTAATAGCATTCATAGAGTGTAATAGCATTCAATTGTTCTATGAAAAAATATACTATCTTTTTACTTTTGTTGTTGCATTTTTATTCTTTTCTTTTTTTCGATTAATGAGTCAAAACTAGAAAAAATAAATAAATTAATAAATTAATATGCAATACTATTGTAGTTCATCTCTTTATCAATGTCTTTCTTTTACCCTCAAAATCTCTAGAACTTTCTGGACCGGATATGTCTCTTTTTATTATAACCATGCCCCAAAAATTATGTTAAAGACATCCATGTTCAGTTTTTGACTTTCATTGTTAGTTCACTCCTTACATAGTTCCTATTGAATACCTCTCTTTCTATATATATATATATGCCACTGCTCCTATTTCCTTCTTTAGTTCTTCACCCTGCAATCAAACTAAGAAAATAAAGTTATAATCCCGAAATTTGTGCATCAAATAAAGATGCATAACCAAGGGAGTAAATTTGTTTTGCTATTCAGCAGTTAACTGTAATTCATCTCTTTATCAATGTCTTTCTTTTACCCTCAAAATCTTCATAACTTTTTGGACCGGATATGACGTCTCTCTTTTCATTATAACCATGTCCCAAAAATTATGTTAAAGACATCAATGTTCAATTTTTGGCTTTCATTATTTCTTTCCTTAGTTTTCTAAAAATAAAATTGACATTACTTTTTTGGCTTCTCAACCAGGCAGAGATAAGAGGTCGTTCAGAGTAGATTGTAATTATAATTCTTTCTTATTTTTGTTCATCCCCCTGTTACCACAAAAACAGAAAGAGATTAAAGCAATTTTCAAATTTTTAACTCCTCTTCCCACCCACATAGTTGCCTTTTCTTCATTTTCTACGTAAACTGTTAAGCATGTGAGGGCATTCATATAGTAACATGCTTTTCACCATTCATTTCCACTCGATATGTTGGTTCCATTTCAAATAGCCACCATGAAATAGCAACTAGACACACAAGCAAATGTATCAGCGTCAGCTTTATTCAAATTTTTGCTTGCATGTCAAGTTGTGGTTGGCTGAGACCATGTAATAATTTCTGGTTGAAGAGTTGTAAAACCATACACTGACAGAACATATGGACTACTGCTACTCTCATGGCCAAGTTTCTCTGTACTTTCAACTTTCAATCACTGGCCTTTCATGTCACTTAAACAGCCAAGTGTTTCAAAAAATTGACATTAAACAATAAATTCAATATCAGTACCAAATAAGTGGCTCTTCATAACTAAATCTCTTAATAGACTATCTAACTTCACACACACATTCACAAACAAAAAGGCATGGCAGAGTGATATTTTTCTTATGTAAATTCACTGCCACCAATATAACCAAATATAAAAACAAGAACACTAAGAAATGTATCAGTATCCAGCGGCTAATAGGAAATAAAGCAACAAATAGCAAGGCAAAAGAATGTGCTCTACATACCAAACAATTCACAGAATAAACCAATATCAATCCCAAAATCCAGCTAAATTTAGCTCCTTTTGATAAAAAAGAATCTACCACATTCAATGGGACATCATGAAAAGTGAAAAAAAAAAAAAAAAAAAAAAAAAGTGTTTTCCACTGCCATGTAAATACATACCAATCAGAAGCAAATCCCTTTTCCATTCTAGTGCCAATGAAACCATGAATAAAGATAATGATTCACACCCACCTCATGCTTCAATTCTCAATCCAAAAAGCCACCAAAGATGAGGAAAGAGAAGGATTGTGGAAGAGTACATTCAGAGCAAGAGCAATAAAGCGGAAGAGAAGCCAAGGGTGAAAGAAGAAGAAGAAACAAACATGGAAGAGATTGGAACTGGTCACGGGACTAGCAGGCATCTTTTTTTTTGGGTTAAAATTAGCAGGCATCTTTCCTCTGCAGGAAGTCTACAATTGGATTAAATCTGTTTTAGTGAGGACTCATATTTACTGGTCTAGCATTTTTGTTCTCCATAAAGCTGTCATCACTGAGCTTAACTGTATTTTCAGAAGTTATTTTTTGGACAGGAACTGAGCTGAAAAAACATGGAGCTAAAATTGCTAGCACTACAATATTTAAGCCAAAAATCATACTAGCATTTGGGTGAAGACTTACTTCGTTAAGACTCAGAGTTCCTGGGATTTGAAGATTATGCAAACAAGTTGATGGCTTCAGTTCAAAGGGCCTAGCTACGCAATTCATCAAATGCAAGGCCTGCAATGGATCTTCTTCTACCTACTTATGGCCGCACGACCAATTAAATGGTCCTCTCTGCAACAGAATCTCTGAAAGCTGCTGGCTCGCTCTCCATGGGACTAATTACCAAGCAAACCAAAGTCTTGGGGTATTTCATGTTCACTGCCCCATCTCCTTCATTTCATTAACCAACACCATCATTCCATTCTACCTCCATCTCCCATTGTATTGTGTGTTCTCTAATTAGTTTTTTTTGTGTATTTAACACAGCGTTGTATATTTTCCACCAATTGTACTACCAACTGTTATTTTTATCTAATTTTGAACCCTATTTTTCTTGTGTTAGGTAAGTATTTGCACACCTTTCATAATATTTCACAAAATTGTTGCGACTCAAACACAATAAAAATTGTATAGCTGAGTGAGATGTTTTGTCATTTTCAATGAGCGAGTATATAACACCATCTAATATATAGTTTAAATTTTGGGTTGATAGCAAATTTTCTTTTAATTACACTTAGTATTTCAGTTAAATTCAGTACTAAATTCTGTGTGCCGTGAAATGCCCATATGAGTGGAATTGGGCACGTTGTATATTATATTTAATATTTAGAGAATAATATTTATACATATAAAATCAATGTTTATGAGGGTATAAATATAAATATGAAAATAAATAAGTGACAACGTATGTAGAGAAATATATTTTTGGAATGAGGTTAAATTAATAAAATACGTATATAGAATTTAAGGAAACTTTTTTTTTTTTTTAATTTATTTTTATAAGACGTTTAGTTACTCGTTTACCACACGGGTAAGAATAACACCAAAGCGTTCCTTTTCTAACATAACTAGTATAAATAATATTATGTATTTTTTTTCTTTATTTTTCTCAGCCTTCAATTTGTTCTCATTGTAAACCTAATTAAGTAGCTAGTTCGGAAAAGCTAAAGCTAACCCATAGTTCTCTCCGTCTCAAATCACATTCTTGAATTTCAGGTAAATCATGATTACTTCTGTTGTTGCATTCTTATTCCTTTTTTTTCCCGATTAATGAGTCAAAACCAGAAAAAAAAATAAAATAAAATAAAAAATTTGTATGCAATACTATTGTAGTTCATCTCTTTATCAATGTCCTTCTTTTACCCTCAGAATTTTCATAACTTTTTGAACCGGATATGACGTCTCTCTTTTCATACAACCATGTCCCAAAAATTATGTTAAAGACATGTTCAATTTTTGGCTTTCATTATTCGTTTCCTTAGTTTTCTAACTATAAAATTGACATTACCTTTTTGGCTTCTCAACCAGGCAGAGATAAGAGTGGTTCAGAGTAGATTGTAATTATAATTCTTTCTTATTTTTGTTCATCCCCCCGTCACCACAAAAACAGAAAGAGATTAAAGCAACTTTCAAATTTTTAACTTCTCTTCCCATTTTAAATTATTTAAATACATTAATATTTTTTTATATGTTTAAATACTTATTAAACACAATATTAAATACTATAATATTTAATCATGTGCGACTAGTAATAATAAATGTTTAAAAATTTGACAAAAAAAGGATGGAAACCTTAGGATTCCAGTATTCTTCTTTATTTTTTATAAACTACCATATAAATATAATTCCTTGTAATCTTAGGATTCCACGACTCTTATAAATTCCAAGTGAAAAAAGGATTTTTACCTGACTAAAAGTTAATTTGGTTACATTATAACTAAGGGTAAAAAAGAGGATTTTAAATCTAATTAGCAATTGTTTTCCTAGTATGATTAGTATTGGACTATTGTCACACAGCTTATATAATATACACACCACACTGGCCCCTTGCGTTTCTGTCCTCTTTCTGAAGTTATCTCTCTTCAAAAGCGGAGCACTATAAAAGCTGCCCTCTTCTTCCTTCCCTTCTCTACCATCTAAACTCCAAATCAGTCGTTGCTCATTCGGAGAAGCCAAAGACAACCTATACTTCTCTTTGATCGGGTTGAGGTAAATCATAATTACGATTATTTCAAATCCAATTTCGGTAGGATCTGATTATTTTTTGTTTGTTCTTCTTTTTAAATTTGGAATTTTTTTTTATTTTTTTTTTATAGTGTAATTTAATTTGTTGATGGCTGGCGAGCAATTTGTTATTTATTCCAGCAAATTACACCTAAGACAAAATTGAATATGTTTTGAGAATCTGAATTGTCCACCGCTTTCATCTCTCACCTCTGAACTTTTCTGTGCAGTACTTGAAGAAGATGTCAAGTAATCTAAGTCTTCATTCATGGGAGTTGCGTGAAGGATCACTTATTCTGGACGATTTTGTATCATTGAATGATATGGTAAAACTGGGACTTGAGAAGCTTGTCGTGGAACTACGAGTTCATCAACTGGAATTCGATAATAATTCTGGAGATTTACTAAATAACATCCGGAAAACTTATCTTAGACCCATGCCTTATGGCATTCTGCGGCGACATGATGATATCTGGCGCCATTTCTTCAATCGTATCCTTCTTGAGGGGGGAGTTTTGGGTTTGACTGATGAGATTATGATCGAAAAGATGATCTATTTTTCTCGTACTATTATTAAGAGTACAATTACTAGTACAGGTACAACTCGCAGTAACATCCAAGACCCTGTGCCTTTAATGATTATCGTAATGAGGGTGGAGGAAGAACCGGAAGTCGTCCACACATTCGTGCCAGCAAGTAAATCATCAATTGAGGCATTGGACAAGGTGGAGGTGGATAGTTCTTGTTCTATAGATCAGTGTGTAATATGTTTGGAAAAGTTTAGTTTTGGTGTTGGCATGGAATTGGTCACTCGAATGCCATGCTCCCATGTCTATCATGGAGATTGTATTGGTCATTGGCTGCAATTGAGTCATTACTGTCCGATTTGTCGCTTTGAGATGCCAACATGAACAAGAATATATTATGGAGATTGTATTGGTCATTGGCTGCAATTGAGTAATTACTGTCCGATTTGTCGCTTTGAGATGCCAACATGAACAAGAATATATTTTTATTATTATTTACGTAATGTAACGTAGATTGGATGAAAGAGACTGCATAAGGCAGAATAGCATTCATATGGTGTAATAGTTCTATGAAATAAATACTTCCTTTACTTCTGTTGTTGCATTCTTATTCTTTCACCTTTTTTTTTTTGGTTGTGTTACTTGATCCAGTTTGACCCGGATACAGTGTTCGTTTTGCATTCTTGTATTTGATATGATAACATGATGAAATGATGAATTAGAGAAAAGATTTAATTGAATTTGGTCCTGTGTTGGTTCAACAATTTCAAGAACTTCATTGATGTTGACACAAATTACTTGGTAACATTCAATGGTTTAATAACATACATGAAATAGTTCCCAGCCTGACAAAAACTTGTACTAGAAACATTCAATGGTTTAATAGGCCTCCCAGAAATTCTTGGTAACATTCAATGGTTTAATAACATATATGAAACAGTTCCCAGCCTGACAAAAACTTGTACTAGATATGCCAACTCTAGACATATCTGACCTGAGATGCCAACCCTAGTAACGTTTCTTTTTGTGGTTTTGATGGCACGAATACCTCAACTTCCGATGTGATTGAAGAGCATGTTGTAGGGCAACATCGACTTTCGCACCTTCTCGAAACAATGAGTCATACAATTGACAAACCGCGTTGACCCCTCCACCCTTCTCTCAGGCTCACTATCTTCCCAATCACTCCCTGGACTGGCAGCCTCTTCCTCTTCGTCTTCTACTTCATCCTCTCCAATATCAAACTTCCCATTCTCCAAAGCACTAGACTCCCTCGATACATTGAATGTTGTCAATGGACATATAACAGCTTTGGCACTGGAGCTAGGAAGGCCTTAATTAGAGATGGAGTAGCCCCACATTTACCCGTGCAAATTATAATCCTATCCCTCCAAGCTCCGGCCTGCAAGTTTCCACAAGATACAATGCAATGCTTAAATCAGCAGAAGAAAATTCAGCCATACTTTTGAAGAACTGACTTTTAGATTAATAATAGCTTCATTCACATATAACTTTTCTACTGAATATCTTTCTTTCTTTTGTTTTGTTATGTCAGCTTTCTTCCTTTAGTCCCTCAGCCTTCCAGCCTTCTAAGCAAGGAGTCGGCCTTCATTACCACGGTGGTTGCGGTTTTGGGGTGGAGAGTTAGGCATGGTAGGGGCATTTTTGGAAGAGTGAAAGGGTAAAATGGGTATTATATTAATTGAGAGGTATTTTTGTACAAATTGAAAAGAATAGGGATATTTTTTGCACATCTTTTTTAAATAGGAGGTAAAAATGCTATGAAAGGTATACTTCAAGAATGTTTCTTGCACTTACCCCAATAAAATACTTGTTCACTGCTTTCATTTCCCTCACCGCCCTTCAAATTTCTCTCTTTGTAAACCTAGTTACAGTTCCTCTTTTCTAGACCTAATACCCCATTCTACGATCCACCCAATAGGCATAATTTGCTTCTGAAATTTTGTGAGGTTATTGATCTTCTTTCCATGTTATTTAAAATTTTAAATACGTATTCAGATCTTAATAAATTCTTTATTTTTTATCTTACTTTTTAGCAAAATCTTCAATATATACACACACACACACCTTGTTAGATACATGTTTGATATATTTCTTGGATAATCTGTGCAGTAGTTGAAGATGTCAAGTAATCTAAGGCTTTATGAATGGCAGTTGCGTGAAGCACTTACTCGGGACGATTTTGCATCATGGAATGATTCGGTACGACTGGGACTCGACAAATTTATCGTGGAACTACGAGTTCTTAAACTATCATTCGATGATAATTCTGGAGATTTACTAAATGTCATTCGGAATTCTTATTGTCGATTCATGTCTAGCGTTCTGCTACAACATGATCATATTGTAAGCTCTTTCTTCTCTCGCATCCTTGTTGAGGGGGGAGTCTTGGGTTTGATTGATGAGATTAAGATTGATCAGATGCTCTCTTTTCTTGGACTATTGCAACTCCCACTAACTTTCACGACCCTTTGCCCTTGATGATTATCCATATGGCTGTGGGGGAAGGAACGGAAGTCGTCCACAAAGCGTTCTTCAATCGGATGCCAGCAAGTAAATCATTCATTGAGGCATTGGAGAAGGTGGTGATGATTGATAGTTGTTGTTCAATGGATCAGTGTATGCTGTGTTCCAAGAAGTTTAGTTTTACTGTTTGCATGACATTAGTTACTTGACTACTGTAACAACCCTAAGCTGAATATTAAATATATAAAAAAAAATCGGTATGGCCTTCGCTAAAAAGGGGTCTACAACAACCCCACAAAATACCAACAAGAGTTATAGTTTACAATACATGACCATGGCTTGCAAAATGCATACACTTCACTATGGTTTTGAGACTTTACAAAAGTGTAGCAAATATACAAAAGATAGCAATATATATATATATATATATATATATATATATATATATATATATTGCTATCTTTTGTATATTTGCTACACTTTTGTAAAGTCTCAAAACCATAGTGAAGTGTATATATATATATATATATATAGTCCTCCTTAAGTTTGTGAAGGGTCTTCATCTCTTACTTCCTTCTTGAGTCCTGAAAAAAAATGTTAGATGTAATGGGGTGAGCAAATTGCTCAGTAAGTGGTGCCTAAGACACACCTCTTGTGACTCCGTAAATCTAAATAATGAATAAAAATAGAGGATAGGGGTCATGCTTTGCCGGAAAAGAATATAACATAAATTCCAATTTCAAATAAACAATGCCATGCCATGATATGCAATGTCATGTATGTCGCTCCCCATTTTTAAAATTCAAATCCATCGCTTTTCAAACTGTTAATATAATCCGTCGGATTGGCTACTGTCCCTGACCCTTGGTACCCCAGCGGCGTCATTTGGGGTCCAGCTAGCTCAACCACGCTAGAGTGATTTCCCTAGTTACCTCTAGGTCATATTAACACCTGGGCCCTTTGGTGACTTCGCGACGACCGAATTTTCTCAAAATCATTTCATCAAAATTCTTCCCAAAAATCCTTTTTCTTTTATTTTAAATAATTTCTCTTCATTCGCACCCACTGAAATGCATACATGTCTCATACTTTCAATACTGTGATAATAAGGGATTTTCATACAACACAATTAAGCATGCCTTACAAGAAATTCTAAGAAAAATTACACATGCTTCCATACATCATTTCTTGCAAGTTAACACCCAATAGATATAAGGAATCAATAATTAGGCATGTTTTCCATGTAAATCAACGAATACACATAATTACATGCTTTACATACATAATTAAATTATTTAAGAGACAACCAACTCAAATTAAGCATGCATAATAACAATTTTAATTAAAAAAAAAAACTCAAAAAGGTGCAAGAAAGTGGGAATTAGAAACCCCTACCTTAAAAAAAAAATTTCATCACTAGATGATCAAAGCCTCAAGCTCCGACCTATCTACAAGTTCTTGGACCTCTCTCAGTCTCCTCAAACTCTCTCTGCTCACTCTCTCTTTCTCAGCTCACTCTCTCTGTCCTCAAACACTCTCTTTTATAAATCTTCTCTAATTTTCTCTCTCTCCGTATTCATTTAGTGCAGTACACTACTGAATATATAATGGCAATCCCACAGACACAAAAATTGCTCACTATACCAAAAAACAAACATCTCATTTCTATATATCAGACCAAATCCACGTGAAGCCCACAGATTTCTGGGCAAACAAATCAGTTAATGGGTCCTGTTCCATTGCTTGCTATCAGATATTGAACATATAAATATATGTAGAATGCATCTCCAAAAAAAAAATCAGCATGTGTAATTGAATGGGACCCGCCAATATCCCATCATCACCAATTCAATCTTCTTTCCTCTCTCACTTCGGCTGGCAGCCCATTATCACACCAAATTACATTTATATATATATATATATATATAAAGGTCACTAAAACCAAATCAAGCAACTTTACTGAAACCGGCCAATGAAACATTACCAATTCTAAACCTTTTCTACTAAAGTCGGCCTCGGCCCTCCGCTCCATTTCTCCTTCCACTACTTCAATCAGATGCAATCAAAAAATATAATATACCTATGCACAATTTTTGACAATTATCAAACCCATTAGCACCATACGATATATATATATATATATATATAAATTATACCTCTACAAAATTAAAGATTTACCAATTCCTAAATTCAAGACCCAATATCTCTAATAATCAATCTTTAAGAATTAGAAATCAAAAAAAATAAATTAAAAACATCCTGAAAATCCGAATTGTCACAACTACCATGCTCGCACGTCTATCATGAAAATTGTATTGTTGATTGGCTGCAGACAAGTCACTTCTGCCCAATTTGTCGTACTCCATTGCCACCTTGAAGAATGACTATTATTATTTGTAGATGTAGATCGGATGAAAGAGACTACATAAAGGTGTACTAGCCATTCAATTTTTTTATGAAAAAATTACTATTTACGTCTGTTGTTGCATTCTTATTCTTTTCCTTCGATTTGTTATTTATTTATTATTAATGAGTCAAAACCAAATTTTTAAAATTAAAAAAATATATATGTATGCAATGTGTCTCTTTTTCAATCCATGCGACGACGACGAAAGTGGACACAATTGAACCCAATTTTGCAACTGGGCCCGTTAGGAGGCTCCATTTCCGGTGTATCATCTTCTCCTCTCTCTCTTCCAACTACGTTGTGGAATTTGTGATCTGGCATGCCTTTTTCAAATACTAGGCTATAAATACTTTCGGGTTGGGCTGGGCTTCTACATAATCTTAGCAACAGTAGTCCATCAACAAACTACTAGAGCCACAACAATACAAAATTAATTAATTTTATACTATAAACTTATGTAAACATGTCCACATAAGAAGAAAAAAAATTACAGACACGAGAATTTTGAATGTCTCACCACTAAACACTAAATTGTAATACGCTATTATATATATATAGTAAAATGATTTTAAAGCTGAGGACATAGGCATAATTCTTAGATCTAGAATTATTACTTTTAATTGCTCAATACATAATAAATATATATATATGTATAAAAAAAATTAAAAAAAAAACCAGCACATTTTAAAAAATATATATATTAATGACCA